GTTTTTGGTGATGGACTGCATGGAGCATGCGCTGACAGCCTGCCACCCCCGTACCTGCTACTCAGCTGGCTGGGATGCGAAAGCTCCTCTACCTCCCCATGAGCTACGTTCCCACCTTCCTGGTGGACGCCATCATCACATGGGGCCCCTCAAGGCCACCCAAAGCCCTGTGAGCCAAGACTCTGTGCATGGTTGCAGGACATTGACTGCTGTGGGAGGTAGAGGTACATCAGTTACACAAGTGTTTCGCTCGGTTCTTCTTTTTCTGTTTATTAGCGGTGTTCTTCGACGATTTCATGTATGTGGTGTTTGTTGAATTGTTTTCTATTTCAGGAGTCGGTTAACTTTTTTCGCATGTTCTATTTCTTCTCTGCAAGTCTGGGACTTTTTGTGTTTCTTGGTTGTTCCGGTTATCTGACGTTGTTGTTGGCAGCTGGGTGTGGTGTTTTATGTTGACTAGACATTCGCTTCTGTATATTGGTGTGCTGTTGTTGGTCGGTGTGTTTAGGGCGCTGGTTCTTGTGGGGTGTGTTTTCCGTTTGGTTTCTTCATGATTTGATTCTGCACTCCTGATTTGGCTCATGTCATCAGTTGTTTTTCTTTTTAGTTACGTTTTGGGGTATGTCAGACTTGTTAGTTTCTGAGGTTAGTGGTTGTGGGTGAACTTGGGCGATCTGTATATGCAGTTGTGCGCGTCGGTTTTTGATTGTTTGGTCATACTTCCTTCTGTGTAAAAACACACATTCTCACAAACTGAAATGAAGTAATCGGTTGGGATTCACTGGATAGCTCACGGGGAAGTTGTTGAAGAGTGTGGACTCTTGCTAGAAATGTTCTCCAGAGCATGGGAGAGGTGTGAGGGTGCAAATCCCTGGCCCTCGATGCTGAGCGAAACTTGGGGTCACCTGCACCAAGGCTTCACCTCTGGGCCACTTCATGGACTATGACTCAAAGTGGTCACCTTTGCCATGAGAGAACAATCATGGCCATGAATAAAGTCTGAGGTAAAGCAGTGCACATCCCCAACCCCACCTCACAGCACAACCTCCCTTTTTCTTTCGTCCTGCCATCTTTTCTCAGCAAAGACCCAGGCCCACTCCCGTGGAGCTATTCAGGGACTGACGCCAATTCCGCAGAGTCCCCAGGTGCCAGCAAAGCTGACTTCACTCAATCCCTTTGCTAGCCTGGTCCTCTCTGAGGAGCACAAGGCTATGTGATCCGCAGCAGAAACTGTCCTCGCCTCCAACCACCTGAAAACCAATGCCTGCAGGGCATGTGCCCTTCCTTTCTGAGACCCACGCTAGCCTAGGGAGGGGCTGCAGGCTGCAGGCAGGACACAGGTTTTAACATGAAGACCAAGTTCCCATGTTTCCAGCTTTGCTTTTCCTCTCCTACACCATCTCTTCTTCAGGGGCCCCTGGATGGACAAGGGGAAAGGGGTGGAGACAGTGGTCACCGGGAGGCTGAGCTGGACTCCCCTCTGGGACTGATCCCAGCAGGAGTCCACAGCCAGAGACTGCAGGACACCAGGAAGCAACACCTGTCCTCCAGGGCAGGCAGGAGCTCAGGAGTGTGGCACTGGAGCCTGGACAAGATCCTCTCCGAGGAGTGCTGAGGCTGTCATTGTCATAGCCTTGTGGAGGGGTCTCAGTGAACAGACTCGGGGAGCATGAATGTCCACAGAATCCATGGTTCCAAAGGATTTCCCATTCTGCCCAAGAATCCAGGTGTAGCAGTGTCCCTCCCTCTGACTTCTCCCTTGGGACTCCTAGGATTGCAGCTGACTCTGAAGTGGAATGGGAAGCTCCTGTCACCCCAGCAAAGGGTCACATTACTCTCAGCATAATCAAGGGTCAGCAGTAGACGTGAGGACTGGGAAATGTGTCTGGCCATGGCCATTGAGAATTCCTGGTTGAAAGAGGTCCAAGTCCCTGAGAAGAGCTGTGGTGCGTGACCCCTCCCGCATGGGAGGGCCCAGAGCAGGAGGGAAGAAGGCAGTGTACTCACCACCCAGGGCTGGGCAAAGGGCGTCTGCAAGAGGTAAACAGTAAACTCGGTGACACCTGCTTGTTTGGGTCATTCCTCTGCTCCCTCCCAGCAACTCTGGGGAGGTTTTTACCTGTTGGTTCCCTGCCCCATTCCTTTTCTATTCCCTTTTTTCCACCGAGGTCTGACTGCCCCTTGGACATCTCATACTCCTTCTTCCCAGAGACTATCCTGGCAGTAGGGGACCTCTCTGTTTTGCCTTCTCCTTCCAATCCTAGAGACACTGGCAATGACTTAGTTTCCTGAGTGATTCTGGGTATGACCTGATGTGGAAACCCAGACTCAGAGAAGGATTTCAAACCACTGTGCCTTCAACCCAGGTGTGGCTACACCTGGGTCTTCTCTGTGCAGCCCAGGAGTGGACCCCAGTCTCTCATTTTCTGTTCATTTATGCTGCGACCCTATTGTGTGCAGGGAAAATTACCAGGAACTCCCCAGGCTTCATCAGACCTCAGCTCTGAGCCTCAGTGTTCTGAGGTTCCTGTGGTGTTTGGCCTCCTACAGAGGAAGGACTTGCACGAAGGGGATCAATATTCTGGGAGAAAGTGCTCCTTTGTACTGCGAGGCAACCATCCCCATAGGCATCTTGGTTTCTTCCTCAAGTTAATATCTAAACGGACAGGGAGCCTGTGGGGACCTTTGTGGACCTGTTCGAGCAGATCCGTGTTGGGTGTGGAAAACAGCAGTGAAGCTCAGATTCACGAAAACGTGAAGTGGGCATTCGGTGTGGAGCATGTCAGTGTGAAGCCCGAGAAGATGCCAGGGAGGGTCCGTCCTGGGAGGCACCACGTCCCTGAAATCTTGTAGTATCAAGGCCAAATGAGTGACCTTCCATCGGTGCCGCACTTCAAATGCCACCCTGTGCATTGTCATAGCAATTGAAGACAGCGATACTTTGTCTTCTTTAATTTGCAGTAAATCCTACCCTCTAAATAAAGACACACACACACATCACACACACGACACAGACACACAGACCAGGAAAAAACTGAAAATGAAATAAAGACGGCGGATTCACTTGAACAGCTCACTGAGGTAAGCGGTTCAGGGGCATGTGACTCAGATGGGTGCTCTCCAAAGACCAGAGAGCTGCTGAGGGTGCAAAACCCCTGGTCTTCCGTGCTCTGGGCTGTACGTGTGGGGTGCACCTGCCATGAGCTTGACCCTGGTCACCATCATGGACTATGAGTCAAGGGCGCCGCTAATGCCTTGAATCAGAACAAATCAGACCCAAATAAAGTCTTGATTAAGCGTCCATGTCACCTCCCTAACCCAACCCTCAGGTAGACCCTCCCGTTATCTTCCCCTCCTACATCTTTCCTCAGCCAGGGAGCCACTCAGCTGCCCACGGAGCTGTGCAGGGACAGGGCCCCATCCCACAGAGTCCCCCGTGTCACGGAAGATGCCTTCACTCCTTCCCTTTGCTGCCAGTATCCTCCCAGAGGGGGACGGGGCTATTCAGTTCCCAGCAGAAACTGTCATCTTCTCCAACTACCTGACCTCCAATGCCTGCAGGGCATGTGACCCTTCCTTTCTGTGTCGCCATGCCAGGCTTAGGAGGGGCTGCAGGGTGCAGGGCACGGCACAGGTTGTAGCTTTACCCCTAACTTCCTGCCTTTTCCAGCTTTGGGTTTTCTTTTCTACACCTGCTCCTCTACAGCAGTCTTGTCCTGGGTGGAGATGGGGAATAGGTGTGGTGGCCCTGAGGCGGAAGAGAGGTCCCCAGGAGGCTCACCTGGGCTCTCCAGACGGCCTGATTCCATCTGGTGAGTGGCCGCAGGCTGAGGAATGCCACCAGCTAAAGAGCACAGTAGAAGCAAAGTGGGGGTTAGAGATTGCCTCTGGCTCCCCTACATTGTGCAGGGGTCTCAGTGCAAGGACTGGGCGGGGTTGTGGGGAGGGTGCGGTGGGAAGGCTCCAGAAGATTTTACATTCTGCACGAGGGTCCAATTGAGGCGGTGTCCCTCCCTTCACATCTCCCTAGGGACTTTGTTGGATTGCTGCTGACTCAGGAGTGGACTGGGAAGGTCCTGCCACCCCAGGGAAGGGTCACACTACTGTCAGGATGAGCAGTGCGTGTGACGACTGGGAAATGTGCATATCTGTGCATGCCCACTGAGAATTCATGGTTGAAGGAAATGGAATTCGCTGACAGTATTCGGGATGTGGGACCTGGCAGGGGAGTGCGCAGAGCAGGAGGGCAGCAGGTGGTGTACCCAGCAGCCAGGCCGGGCAAAGGACACCTCCAAGGAGGTGTAAACAACAGGACATTTGCTTTGTGTGAGTCGTTCCTTTCTTCCCTCTCAGCAACTCTGGCTGTTTCTTCTTGTGGGTTCCCAGCCTTCAATTTATTTCTGTCCCCTTCCTTTGCCTCTGATCTGAGTGTCCCTTTGGAATCATGTTCCATTTTTCTGACTCCCCCCAAACTACTCTAGAAGGGAACCTATCCCTGTCCATTCTTTTTGCCTCTTCCTTGCACTCCTGGACACTGACACTGACTTAGCTTTCTGAGGGTGATTCTGGGTGCTGAGCCGGATAAGGACACCCAGGCTGCGAGGGCTGAGCAAGCTGCCCAAGGCCACTCAGCCAGCTGGTAGCCGAGCTGGGCTGTGAACCCACCTGTGTCTTGATTCAAACTGCATCTTCTTCACAGGAAGATTCGGCGGCTCAGGACCTGAGCAGGAGAAAGGTGAAAAGGTCTGAATGACAAGACTTAGGGCAGCGGGGGCTCCGCTGTGTGCTGGGGATGAGAGCTGGGTGGAGGGGAGCAGTGAGGAGTGGGAGACCAGGAGAAGGTGGTTCGGAGAAGTGTCCTCAAGTCAAGGCATTTTTTGGAAATCCAATGGCATCTGTTTAAAATGACATAAGTAGATCAGCAGGGAGAAACTTGAGGACTCCTTTCCAGAGCGCTGGAAGCTCACCTGCCTACCACAGCCTTTGCGTTCTTAAGTTCTCCTGTCTGAACACTGTCCACACTCTCCTTTGACCCCAGCTTGCCTCTGTCTGTCCCCCCAAAGCCATGTGGCTGTACCCAGCGGCCCTCCTGGGCCTGGACTACCTTCTGCACTGGCACCAGGAGAGGCAGGTTACAGGCTGTGTGTACGTGTCCATGTCCCACATGGCTCTGCCTGCTTGGCCAGCTTGACATTCAGCACCAGCTCATTCTTACCCATAACTGCAGCCTCGATGACAAATAGGTGGTGCCGGTCTGGGTGATATCCGTAGCAACTCTGGGTCTCTGTCCCATCATCTTGGTGCTCACAAACTCAGGCATCATTTGACTCCCGACCTCCCTTGCCACTGCTCACCCAATTAGCCACAGTGTCAGCTTCGTGGCCCTTTGCCCCCACCCTGGCTCATCTCACCACCTACAGGTGCCTTGTCACGAGGCTTAAGGGAAAATGCCCTTAGGGACTGGGGACCTGGTGTGTCCTCAGTCCTCCACTCCCTCCATTCACCTGGTCACTGGGGAGAAGTGGGGCCTTTCTGGAGTGCAATGGGGACTCCCCTCTGCTACCTTCATATATACATACTTGTCATAGGGCAGAGAATGAATTTACATCCACCAATTCTAACATAAGTGCTCCCAGAAAAAGGCATAAGCAGTCGCTTTCACGTATTGCACCATGGAAAATTAATTTTTTGTTTCTGATATGTATTCCCCCTGGGATTATCTGATGTCCACTCACCATTACAATTCCCTGGCAATCACATCATCTGCCCTGGGCCCTTCGTCTTTCCCCCTCTAGTAGCTGGGCTTCACACCATGGGCCTCCCCTGGCAGGACCCTGCTGGGTTTTCCTTCAGGACAGTGGGGGCACAGCCACCCAGGGGAAAGTCCTTTGGCTCTAATGAGGGAGACGCAACTAGAGGCAGAGAATAGCCAAGGGGGTGACAGGGGGATCCTTTCTTTTAGAGTACAGAACCTAAAGTTTGCCTTTTCTTGCTACCATGAATTTACCTTGGTTTTCATTGCCTTAAAGTATCGGTTAAAAAGTTTATCCACGCCCAGAGAGTTGACCCCTAGTCTGTGGGAGGCAAGGGTGTCCATCTTGGGAAGATGGGGCAGGTGGAAGAAGAGGAAGAAGAGGCAGGTGTGTTCCAAGGTCGGGCTGAGAGGGACGCCCTGAGGAGGGATTTGGAGAGGGCAGGTGGAATATCCCGGGCCCCTCTCAGCCCTCACAGCCACAGAAAGGAGGGGCAATTGTTTCCTTCCCAGGATTTAGCAGGTAGCCTGGAGTAGCAGGAATAGACTCAGAGATTGGCAAAGAAAATGGATCCTGAATGGGTGAGGTCCCTGATCCCACCTGGGTGTCAAGGCTTCCTTCCCCACAAGTACCTCCCCGTGGCCCTCAGCCTCCGTCCCCTCCTTCAGAGCCGCCACACCTCCATCTCTTGCCACTCCAGTCAGGCCCCGACACTCATCTGGCCGCATGGACTGAGGGTGTCTCTGCACCCCAGGCTTTCATTTTCTGCTTTTTCTGACTGATCAACTGCTGTGTGCCAGACACAAATTCCCTGGGTGACCAGAGCTTCCTGAGACCCAAGCTCACTGGGTCTTCACTCTGTTGATGATGTTCTGATGAACATGGATTCATAAAGATGAAATCGATATGAATTTCAGAAATTCATATATATTCCCATTCTCAGTACACATTGGAGAGCAGCGATGCCTCCCAGTGGTCTTAGTTCACCTCCTTCAAAAAGACAATGGAGACATCAGGGCATTTTATTCTATTGCAAAATATATAGTAATGTGACCACGTTGGCTTAATCATTTGGAGCGGTGCAGAAGTAAATGTTTCCAGAGTGGGGGACAGACAGAGCAGAGAGGATTTCTGAAGTCTAAGACATGGGTTAGAGGGGAGATCCAGTGTGCATGGGGTGAGGTGAGGGCATGGGAGGGAGGGGTGGGAGGGGTGCTGGAAGAGGTGGGGCTGGGGAAAATCCAACCATGTCTGATCAGCCCTTGACAGCATTGAAATCACAATTGGAGAATGCCTGTTCGTAGGGAGACCTTTGGAGCAACAAAACAGAGAGTACTGGAACTCTAGAGCAACTGTAGCTGCCAGGCACCATCCTGTGCAAAGACATGTGGCTGTACCTGGCAGCCCTCGTGGGCCTGTACTACCTCGTGCGCTGGCACCGGGAGAGGCAGGTGGTGAGCCACCTCCAAGACAAGTACGTCTTCATCACGGGCTGCGGCTCGGGCTTCGGGAACCTGCTGGCCAGACAGCTGGACATGCGGGGCATGAGGGTGCTGGCTGCGTGTAGGACAGAGAAGGCGGCCGTGCAGCTGAAAGCCCAGACGTCAGACAGGCTGGAGACTGTGACTCTGGATGTCACCAAGACAGACAGCATCACTGCAGCCACCCAGTGGGTGAAGGAACGTGTTGGAGACAGAGGTACCCCCAGATTCCTCTTTGTGTCTCCTTCCTCTCTCTCTGGGATGGGGGAGCCTGTTCTCTATTAACTGTGAAGATTCCCAAGGTGTCTGGATTTTCAAGGACTGTGAGCTTGGGTTTTCTGGAGCAGAAGTCCTAGAGTGATTGAGCCTGAGCCACAGGGTCAGAGGAGCACAGCCTGTGTTTAGGGTCGACTCTCTGGAGGCAGGTTGTGCCCTTGAGCCAGACCTTGAGCCTGGCATGGGACAGTGGCGGCCTGGGCCAGGCCGGATCCAGGCTCCTGATCTCAGCATTTCTTACTGGCTCTTTCACACTTATCCCCCCTGAGGGATCTGAGATTATCTGTCCTCACTTGACTCATGAGGGTGGAGGTTTAGAGGCTGAAGGGACTTCTTTCAAATATTCGGTGATAATTCCTGTTCTTCTGCTACATTACCCTGCCGGTTCTTTTTGTTAAAAGGGAGATGATGGATTTCTTTGTTCTGATTAGAAATGTAAAACATGTTCATTGAGGAAAACACTGAAGAGGATAAAGGCAAAACAACATTTACCGTTGTTGATTACTCCACAATAATTAGACTACCTCATGTATTGTGTGATCAGCTTTATACCATCCAATCTCTTCTAAAATAGAATATTCAACATCTGCATATCAGAGAGAATATAATTTATTTAAGCAGTCCTATGTTGTTGGACGCTGAACTTAGTTTCTCAGTTTTCCTGGCATAAACAACAACTCAGCAAGGATTATGTAATAAGTTTTGTTCACATGCTTAGCAATGTTAGTCAAGTAAAGTAAAATAATTGGATCAAAGCATACTCATTTCTTCTTTTTTTTTTTT